AAGCAAATTTATCTTGGGTGGAAGAGTCTTGTTCATGCTCAGAACTGAGTTTACTTCAAGTTCCGAAGTTTCACCCCAAGTCAGGCAGACATTGGCCATAGTTTGTAAGACAAGACTGTACACTTCATCAGTAATAATCACGATCAATATGCTATGCAAACCTATCCATGTCTACTGAGAAACAAGCCCCATATGAGTTCTATTCCCTGGAAAAGAATTGTGTCTTGCAGGTCTAATAAAACCACTTCTTCTCTGGAAGTCTGGCCCCTCCCAAAACCCCACCCCCAAATTGGAAAGAGGACTCTGAGATATAGGTTATCTTCAGCTGAAAGAGGCAGTTTTTGAATCGGAAAAGCAAAGTTCTTTGGTGCCATTTGCAGTTCATCTCCTTGCTTTTGTGACCATGTTGACTTTGGTGTTACTGTAAAAGAGAAAAAAATACATGTATCATATGAAGATGATGTGGTTTTTTGCCTAGCAGTGAGCGACAGCTTCTCTTTATTAAATGGTAAGCGTTTTCATGTGATCTTCAGTACCTTCAAGAAAGTTGCAGGCTTGCATACAATAATACTAGTATGTAAATTTATTTAAATTTACCTGATTAACGAGTGGATGAATCCATTTAACAATTTAATTAACTGGCTGAAAAAAAATATTTTTTTCCTCTCCAGTTACTTGTTTGGTTCACTGGCACAAGGGCCATCTTTAAAAACTTCCAGGCCTCTGGGCCTTTGTGACTCAATGAAATGTCTCATAAGAATCATTCTCTTTTCAATGATCAGCTACCGTATTTGGGCATTTTCGAGAGGTATTCTGTTTACCTGGTTAGGTTTCCATTTTTGTAAGCATGTTGTACATAGTTTGGTGTGTCTATTATTTACTTAGAAGTGAGTAAATGTAGCCTTTTACTTGCAGCCGTTCAAGTAAATATAGGTTTTGGGATGCCTCATAAATTTGGAAATGTGTATTACTTACCATAACTCCTTTTTACTGGAGTTTTTAAAATACGAATGAGAGGGAATTTTTTCCTGCATTAAACAAAAAGGGAGGTTTTTTAAAAACATTCAAAACCAATGTGGTTTTGGAGAGAGGCTATATCCTGTATTATGCTGTGGTGGAGAAGGAGGAGAGAGATAACAAGTATTATTCAATGGAAATCTCTCCCATGACAGTTCATTTTAACATGAACAGATGAGAATAACACAGGCATAAAATGAGACCCTCTTTTAAAATTCCACTGATTGGTATGATTTCTGTGGGGGGGGGGCGAGGTGTCGTTAGCAACAGAGGAAAAGATTCCCTGAACACCAGTCTTGTAGTGCAGTCAAGACTCAGTTCGGCTTTTTGATTAGTAGGGACAATGTTGTCATCTCCCATCTTGGTTGCCTCCAAAACAGTACATTGTTGTGAATTATTCTTGTCTGAATGGAAAGTATGTTGAGGTTATTTAGTTCTGAAGACCTGTTAACTTTACAAAGGACCTGCCCTGGTGGAGATGAAAAGTGCTAGGACTGTTTGGTTGTTAATTCATTACACATTTTGCCCTTCTTTAGGGTTTAACTGTGGGGTCTATTGTACTGGATGACTAGTAGTAACAACAGCAGCAATAATACTATGTCATAATAATACATGTGCTGTCGCCGATTCAGACTTATGATGACACTCCCATGTCTTACTGGGTACAGAGTTCTTAGAAGTGTTTGGCCAGTCTTACTTTCTAATGATGCCCTGGAATTGTGCATCGTTAGAAAGTAAGACTGGTAAAACACTTCCCAGGCTGTCAGGTGGCAGCCGCACACATGTTGTGGGTGATCTTGTCTGGTCTTTTTCCTGGGAGGCCATTGAGGGGATTTGGACTCCTGACCCCAGCTCCATAGCCAGTCACTCCAGCTACATTGACCCATACAACCTCTATGGCATTCACCATTTCTGGTAAATGACTATGCTTCAAAATTTACCGCAACAACTCTGCTGAATAGCAAGAGACTTCATGAGAGGTACTTGCAGATCAGGCCACCCAACAGCTGATGTCATCCCCACTATTTTGAGAGTCAGATTTATTAACTCAAAAGGCAGCTCTTCCCTATAATGAAGGATAGCCACTTTCTGGGCCTAGCGGAAAGGTAACCGTGGTGTATCATGGAAGTTCTCTTTTCAACTTTTTAGGAAAAGCAAAGACCCTTAAAGCCTCTCAGTTCAGTGGAAGGGAACCAATAAGCGAATGGGTCTAGGCCAGAAGGCGTAGCTCCCCCCCCGCCCCCATTCCTTGTCCAAAAGTAAGCTTGGCTGTCTGAAATCAATTCCTTCCTTCATTTATTTCCTTCCTTTTATTTACACCCTGCCTTTCCGCCAATGAAAGGACCCAAGGCAGCCTACAAATAGTTTGAAAGGCAACTATTAAGGTGACTAAATAATAAATAAATTACAATGTCAAACACATTAAAAATGCACAACAGCTAGACACATTACAATATATTGAGTAAAAATGGTCCAAAACAATTTAGAAGCACATTTTTAAAAAAGAAGAATATTGCCCATTTGCTCCTTCCATCCTTGGCAGCCCATTACTTGTAAAATCTGCCTGAAGAGAAAGTTCATTCAGTCCATTGCCAAAAGCAGGTACTGGTTTAGAGATTAAACATCTTCTCTGGTTTTAGATCCATTCCCTAGGTTAAGGTGAGATAAAGTGCCTTGGCCCCATTGCTAATGTCCTTCATAGGTGGGAGCACAGATTCAAGTCAAGCTTTATCATGCCTGAGCCTAACATTCTATCCACCGTAATGCCTGCCAGTTAAATGGAAGAGACCTGTATTCAAACTTTCATTTGGCCACAAAGTCACCATTTACATCACTGAGCTAATAATTGCCTCTCCGTCTGACCTACCTCACAGGATGGATTTGAAGATTAAAAATGGAGGGGAAAACTTGTGTGTGTAGGCTTCAGCTCCGTGGAGAATAACAAATAAACAGTAAACACCCAGATGCCATCTTTCAACATAAATCACCTTTTTTCCTTTTTATTTTTAAGGCATTGAGGAAAAGTCAGGCTTTTAGGAACATAGACGCATTTGGGTGGAATGTGTTGCTAACGAACAAACGACGTAGTGGGAAAATCAGAGCCACATCTTCCATGCTTCAGACACACTTTATTATGCCAAGTATTTCAAAGAGACTTCTCTCCCCCGCCCCTCTCTATTCATAGAAAGTACCTATTAGGGAAAATATCCCAGTATGATTCAGCAATCCACAGAGTCCACTGCAAACCAGACAGTTTACAATGTATGATGTTTAGGATGAAATAAGAAGAAAACATCCGTTTTACTAGGACAGTGGCATAGCAGTCCATCACCCCATGTTTCAGGAAGACATGAGCAGGAAGACTGCCCACAGGGTGATATTTCTAGATAGAGTTTTATCTCTCCTTCTCCCTGTAAGAAGAAGGGAGGGGGGAATTCCCAAGCTAGATTCCTAGCAACCGTCCTGGCAACGTGCCCCTCCCTCCCCCCCCCAAACTCTCTGCTTGTCATTAATGGCCTGAGATGAATCAAATCATCCATTCTTCTTACCTGTTTCTCTGGAAGGATTAAATATGGGTTAAATTAGCAGTAGGGGAGTAGTTCTCTGAGAAAGGGCCCAATCCATGTTTATCAAACCAAATGGCATGTTTGCCCCCAATTGATTGACTCCAGAGTTATCCCATTAGAGACAGTGCACTCAAGCTGCCTATGTGCTAAATGCGTTAATTTCACTCCTGCTTTACAATGTGTTTAGTGGATGTCACAGGACAGGAATATCCAGGAGAAATATGAGTGCTTTGAAAGCACAAAGGGTTTAAGGGCTCATTTCAGCATTATCTGCATTTATTAATGAGTCCCGCGTTGTAGTGTAGCGAATAGTATGATGGGACTAGGAACCAGGAGACTTGGATTCAAATCCCCACTCATGGGAGAATGGGTTGGAACTAGTAAAACCACTCCTTAAGTATCAACATTAACCTGAAAGCTCTGTTACAGACCTGTAAGTCAGTTCCAAGTTGACAGCACATCACACACACAAACGCGCGCGCGCGCACACACACACACATGCACATGGATCTCATCCCTGCATGGCAAGAAACAATAATTCTTATGTGCCCAATTGCTCTTAAGTCGCAGAGAAGACCGTGTTACCGTTAGCATACAAGGCTTTTATAGGGCATCCCCCATGTGCATCTCATGCAATGTGAAGTTTTAATGTATTGCTATGCATTTATGGTGATGTTGAGGAGATCTTGCATAGGATGGGGTCCAACGCAGGAAAAATTTTGAATGGCAGTGGGAATCATCTACATGGGGTCAGAGATGTTTTAAATCCATCAGCGGGTTTCGCTTTTGTTGTTGTTTAATTTAAAGGGGACTTCAGTTTTTCCCACTTTCCTTTGGATCCTGTGCTCTTAAAGGGAGAATTTCCTTTTAAAAATATATATATATCCTCCCCCAAAGCCGATAATGGGCCCATCCTTGAGGGGAAAAATAATGACCACAATACTTTTATCAAAAAAAAAGAGTTGTGTAGTGCCTTTCAAATATGATTTATGGAATGGGGGGGGGATGGACACACACAGAGGTCGAATTTTTGTGGAATCCTGGTTTAGTCTTTTGAAAAACTGGAAGAGAGAGAAAGAGAGCATGTGTCTTCCAAAAGAGACGTATTTTTAAGTCCTATAAATCAGGTCTGTGGTAGTGGGAAGAATCTTAGGCTGGAAGCTGAAGAAAATTCACCCCCCCCTCCTTCTTTTTCTTTTTATTTTTTTTCCCCTCGGTCGGTGAAAATACAGCGCCTTTTTTGTGTGCTGAAGTGCGCCAGCTTTTTCAGACAGGAGGAATGCGGAGTGTCAAGGGGTCAGGATCAATCCGGTGTGAGTTGATGAGGCAGGAAGGTGGAGAGGAATCTCAGGAATGTCGCTGTTTGTGTAGGACTCCATTCAGCCGATTGGCGGATCCCGGGCGCCTCGAGGGTATAAAAAGCCGGCGGGTTGCCTGCTTGAGATTCGTACCAACAAACTGCTCGGCTTCCGAGACAAGGAGAGAGAGAGAAAGAGAGAGAGAACGAGCCCTCCTTCCCTCCCGAGGCGCTTTCCCAGCAGAGGCAGAGCCCACCCCGTCGGGACAGAAGCGGTCTTCGCCGGCCAGCGACCTTTACGGGACTCCCGCTCTCCCCACCTGGACGAAGGAGGCCCCTTTCCCTCAGAGCCCAGAAGCCAAGCTCGGCTCCGCGAAGCTTTTGCCGCCCCTCTTCTTGCTCTCCAAAGCGCAAAGCCCGAGGATGATGGTCAAGATGGGACCCAAGAGCAGCTTGGTTTTGGCCCTCCTGGTCGCCCTGCTTAGCCGGGTAAGTGCCTCTTCTCCGACCCGGATCGCCTGCTTCGGTCCCAGGAGGCTTTGCTTGGGGGGTGGGGGACTGGCGGGGGGACTTCCCCTTTCTCTCCCTCTCCCCGAAACTCGGTTCCCCGTCCTCTCCGAGGGGCTCCTCAGGAGTAACCCCCCGCCTCTGTCCCTCTTTCTGTCCCTCAGGAGGCGAGCAGTCAAGACTGCAGCGGGCAGTGCCAGTGCGGATCGGCGCCTCCCGAGTGCCCGCCCGGGGTCAGCCTGGTGCAAGACGGCTGCGGGTGCTGCCGGGTGTGCGCCAAACAGCTGGGCGAGCTGTGCACCGAACGGGACCCCTGCGATCCTCACAAGGGACTCTTCTGTGATTTCGGATCTCCGGCCAACCGCAAGATCGGAGTGTGCACCGGTGAGTAACCCGAGGCTTAGCGGAAGGGTCGTTTTTCTTCTGCTTGCTGCCTCCTCTAGGGGGCGACAGTGGCTATTATTACGTCTTGCCCCTTGAAAAGGAACAGTGCTCAAGAATCTTAGTGCTTAGGCTACAGTTCCTCCCTTCAGTAAGCCTTAAGGAGCCTTAGGTGTACAACAACAAAGTTACTTTAAGGCATTGCAATTTCCATGATCCCCTAAACTAACATAGCCAGTAATGTTTCCAGATTCTTGAGACTAGATCTCTCCAAGTTGGGACTACAGCCTCCCTCCCCCACACACACACACCTTTTGCAGGCTGCTAGGAGCTGCACTTCAGCACATTTGGAGGCATGAGTTTGAGGAACCCTGATATCAAAGCTCCTACCTTGGAGAGTTCCGGATGTGCCTTGATCTCACCTTTTCTCTTCCACTCTCTTTCTCTCACCCTGACACACACCATCCCAAGAGTTTTTAATCAGTGGGCTCCCTTTTCCTGTTTGCAGCAAAGGACGGTGCCCCGTGTGTCTTTGGAGGCATGGTGTACAGGAGTGGAGAGTACTTCCAGAGCAGCTGCAAATACCACTGCACGTGCCTGGACGGAGCGGTAGGCTGTGTGCCCCTCTGCAACATGGATGTGCGCCTGCCCAGCCCTGACTGCCCTTACCCACGAAGAGTTAAACTCCCAGGAAAATGCTGCGAGGAATGGGTGTGCGATGAGCCCAAGGACAAAGAACAGACTGCCGTTGGACCTGCTCTTGCTGGTGAGCTTGAATTTCCTAGGTAGAAATTGGAACCCAGTTTGAACCTATACAGAGAATTGCTCAAGAGTTTGGGAAATTTATTTTGCAGGATAACAAGTCCTAGAATCCCAGGGATGGGATGGGAGGTGGAGTCCAAAAAAAGTAACTTTTCTGAGCTTTGACAAAAAGTTACCTGTAGTAACTTCTACACAGACCTTTCTAGAACATCACACCAATAGATTCTATACCCTATGAATGCTGGAATCTAAACCTTTCCTTTGTACACTTCTTTTCAGCTTACAGATTGGAAGATACTTATGGACCTGATCCATCGATGATGAGGGCTAACTGCTTGGTCCAGACCACTGAGTGGAGTGCCTGCTCAAAGACTTGTGGAATGGGCATCTCCACCAGAGTCACCAATGACAACGCCCACTGCAGACTGGAGAAGCAAAGCAGACTTTGCATGGTGAGACCTTGTGAAGCTGACCTGGAAGAAAGCATCAAGGTAAATAGCTGTCTTCTCCTGTTTACCAATGACTCCTGCCCAAGAGAGTTCACAGCTTTCATGTTGCTTTCAGCCTTTCTAAAACTCTGAAACAAATTAATTTTGGGTCATATGCAAACAAATGAGATCTGCATTAAAACATTGTCATATCAGGGGCTCCTGATCTGGATACTCTGGTTCGCTCTCCCTTCCACTTGGTGTTCTCTCTTCCCACACTCCCACCTTACGACCTCCACCTACAATCAGCATTTTTTGGCCACTAGACATTTTCAGTCTATGTTAGTGTTATTGGAGTTATCTGCCTTTGTTTTTTTTTTCCAAGAATATTTTAATGGATCTTTCTATTTGCTAACAATGGGTGGTGCTGTCTTGGTATCATGTACAATGAAGCTCCAGCTCTAAATATTGAAAACTGATATAATACAATATGTAAATCCATTGTGACTTATGCCTAGAAAAATTGATACAATACAATATGTAAATAAATCCATTGTGACTTATGCCTAGAAAAACAGGCACACTATACATTGGATTAATCAGGGTTTACTCTTAGGTAAGCATGTATGTGATTGAAACCTAAGAGACAATAAATTGGGGAAAGAGCTTCAGTGTGTATGGCTGTGCACATCCTTGGTTTCTTTCAATGTAAATGAATATGAAATAAATTTTCAGCAGCACATAATCAGAAATAGTTGAAAAAACTGGAGTTCTGCTCCCAAATAATGGGCATATGCCAGCTCAATGTAAGCTTTTTAACACTGCAGTCCAGTGCATAGTTACCTGAAAGTAAGACTCTCTGAATATTTATTTTTGACTAGACATGTATATATTTGCTCATATGCCTTGTTTATTTGATCAAGCATATGCTTCATTCTGTCAATGGAACAAGGAGATGCTTAATTCTGGTTAGACGAGAATCAGTGGACTGGATTCCAACCAATTTAGCTGCACATAGATCCCAACATAGATACCAGTGGATACCAGTGGAACAAATGACCCTGTTGGGTCAGATCTATATTCAGTTAGCTAAATCTCTTGGCATCAGCTGAGCCTGTCTCAACCCAATGGGTTAAGAATAGAAGGCAAGGGAAATTACTGTGTTGAAAATGGAAGTAAATATTGGGAAATCTGAAGTGAGAGCCTTGTCATATCTGGCATATAAATGTATGAACTCTCTCTTTCTTCCTCAACAGAAAGGCAAAAAATGCATCCGTACTCCCAAGATCTCCAAGCCTATCAAATTCGAGCTGTCCGGCTGCACTAGTGTGAAGACCTACCGTGCCAAGTTCTGCGGCGTCTGCACTGATGGGCGCTGCTGCACCCCCCACAGAACAGCCACCCTCCCTGTGGAGTTCAAGTGTCCTGACGGAGAGGTCATGAAGAAGAGGATGATGTTTATCAAGACCTGTGCGTGCCACTACAACTGCCCTGGAGACAATGATATCTTTGAGTCGGTGTACTCCAGGAAGATGTACGGCGACATGGCATAAAAAACCCAAAAAAGACTTTAAAACTTGACCAGCAACTTGAACTGATAAATGCATCTCATTTTGTAAAACATGATTCAATAGCACAAGGTATTTAAATGTCTGATGAGAGAGAGAGAGATTGAGAGAGAGAGAGAACAAAAACTGTTCCATATGACAAAATTATCTCTAGTGACCCCAAACATTGGTTTGAAAGAAAGAAAAAAATAGTAATAAAACAGACAGTGAGGAACAACCCCCTAGGTTGGGCCTCAGAATAGAGTATGGGGGTGCTTTATATATAGGGAATACTTAAGAGGGCACATGCACTCTTGACAAAGATTTTCACAGTGTGGTAGCGTGTGTCCACCTACTAGTGCAATCAAAAAAAGAGAAACCCTTAGCAAGTTGACTGTCATTGTTTTTTGTGACAATGATTGCTGGACAGGAATTTTTGCCCAGCAAAGGTGCTAAGGAAATGAGCTTGGTAGAATGACGACCATTTTGCTTTCAAGTTCTGATTCAGCTGGTGTGTTTGAAAAGAATCGGAATTAGACTGGACAGCTTGTGGCACCAAATTTCCCTGTCATGAGCTACATTTTTTTAATTACTATTGTAATATTACAATATTGTAAATATTGTATGTGTATGTGTGTGTATATATATATTGTACAGCTATCTAAGTTAATTTAAAGTTTTGTTGCCTTTTTGTTAATGCTTTGATACATCAGTGTTAGCCTCTTCTCTTTTTTAACAAAAAAAATCAAGGTTTGTCTGATCCAATGCATTCATTCAACACATAAAATAGATTCCGTAATGGCAGTTCTGCTCAATTAGTAGAGGGAATGGTAAATTTGATTGATGCTTTGCTGAAGAAAATGTACCAATATCCTTTCAAAGCATTTCATCAAACTAAGGACAAGAAGAGGGGAAAAAACATGGATTTCTCTGACTTAATGAATATGGTGTATTCATTAAGTAAAATAAATGGCTTGTTGATAGCTGATCCATTCTTCCACCTGGGAACCGTTTGTTACCTGTTGAGAAGTGTGACCAAAAGTTACATGTTTGCACCTTTCTAGTTGAAAAATAAAGTATTTTATTTTTTATATAAAGCAACGTGTGATTCTCTTGATTTTACTAAAACCAGTAGTCACTGGGAATGTATGCCACAGATTTATTTACACTTCATTGTACTCCAGCCAACATTGTATCGTAACAGATATTCCTTGGGTATGGCATATAACTATCTGGGAGCCAGTGTGGTGTAGCAGATAGTGACAAACTAGAACTCAGAAGGCCTAGGTTTAAAAGTTGCTTCCCAAAAATGTCTAGGTCTTGTAGGTCCAATATCTTGGTCCAGTGCTATCCAATAGGGCCATCACTACTCCTTATCTTTAGATATGCTTCCTTTAAAATGTGCAAATGTTATCAAGAAAAGAAATAACTGAGCAAAAACACAGGGAAGCTTTGGAAAAAATAGTTGTCCTTAGTACACAAATCCTCCATTAGCACAATTCATTTCCTACTTCCTACTGATCCTTTTTATTCACAGTTAGTGTTCAAATCAAATGAAATAATGCAAGAAAAGTAAAAGCCACTTTAATAGTAGCACCGTACACAGACTGTTGTTCTACTTTCCCTTTTTGTTTCCTTTTCTTAAAGAGTGAATTCAGCCTTACTATGTTCTACAGTTGCCACACAAAAAAGGAAAAATTGCACTCTAATTGCATGGACTTGCCCATTTCCTGGCTGTCTTGACCTGCATTCCTTGGTCATTTTCTTCCCCAGCAGAGACAAAGTCAAGACCACCACCGTATTTAACATCACAGAGCCTCATATGGAGTCTCATATGGATGCATGGGTGGCATATCCAGTTACTGTCTGTTCAGGTGGCAAATAGCTAAATGTATATTTGCCTCTCTTCTCCAGAACTACCTTCCCTAAAATTTGTCTCCCTCAACCCAATCCCACTTTGATTCTTGCCGACCATGTCAACAGCATGCATTGGCCCCCATACTGAGATGATCCATAGATTAGGAAACATTTCAATGAATAACTCTTTGAAATAATTTTTAACCACATAGGTAAATGGCAATTTGCTTATGAATGATAGAACAGACCTGACATGTATCATTTAGACCTGAGCAGATGAACTTCATAGGGTTGATCTGACCCAGCTTTGTCCATCAGCACTAATTTAGATGGGATGGCCCAGATTCATTAGGATTCCATGTCCCTCATAAGGAGAGCCATCTGCCCAGGCACTAATATCATTTGGCTGAAGGGGCAGAAGCCACTGGCAATGGTGCGGCTAAAAAATATTGTAAATAAATAAATAAATAAACAGGATTGCTGATGCTAAATCATTCACTTCACTGTCTAGGAGTCTAACTGCATGATCTGGTTATGGTAATCTCAAGTGGTGCTGGAGAACCTCAGGACTTGGGTTCTGGGGGGATTGCAGTGTTCAATTTGAAGCTACTCTGATAGGGTTTTCCTGGCCCCTTGTGTGACCAATAGGATTGTCTTAATGCTACCACACTGACACAATGCATGGGGCAAGCCATACATTTGATTTTTACTGCAGAGGAGACAAAATGTTTTGAGGTCCATCACCTTGTTGTCACCAGCTGTTCAATTCCTTGTGAGGTTTTGTTTCTGGTAGCAGAGCCCCTTATAAAGCTAGAAGACTAATTAAGTTTGGAACTATGGGATTTTATGATAGATTCTTTGAAGCTGTGGAGGATTTTCTGGCTGGCAGGGCTAATGATTCTGTTGAAGCCTCAGTCTCACCATGTAATGGCAAGATGGGAAAGGTTTTTGATAGAACTAATCTTGAGTGCCCTCCATTGCTATGGAGTCTGTAGCAGCCTATGGGTCACAAGAGCACCATGGACAGTGAAACAAACCAGTTCTTGGCTGGTGCACAGGTGTTGTAGTGTAAATCAACCTGAACATGACTGGAGACTAACAACAACATCTTGCTATGCCACCTGTGCAGCAGTTATGTATCGAAAAAGATCCCCTTTTAACCTCCTTCATTGCATCTTCAGGCTGTCATCCAACAGTTATCAAGGCCTTATTTAGAGATCTCATGAAGATTGAAACCCTATGTTGTCTACTATAGTAATGTAAATTAATTTGGATGTGTTAATGTGCTGCCTGTGGCTAATAAATTTAAGCTGACTAGACTCGGATTGTGTAGTTTAGTCGTTTTAATGTTCACAAGCTGGTTGGGCAACCTGTTCTGTATGGATTTGCACTTCCTCTGATGGAGGAAGTTGTAGTTTGGGGGTATTCCTGGACCCAGCTCTGCATTGGAGAGCACGTGGGCTTAGAGGGTTGAAGTGCACGGGGTCAAGCTTTGGTTGGTCTGCCAGCTGCAACTGTTATCTGGACAATGACAATCTGGCCACAGTAGATCACACACAAGTGACCTCCAATTTAGGCTACTATAATGTGCTATATGAAGCGCTGCCCTTAGGAATGGCATGTCTGTTGCAGCAAACTACAACAGCTAAATTGCTACCAGGAATGCTGTTCAGAATGCATATAATGCTGCTTTTGAAAAAGGTGCACAACTTGCCAATTCTTTTCTCTTCCTTGAATTCATCTCTGAGCTCAAGGTGTTGACTATGATTCTGAAAGCCCTGAACAGCTTTGAGCCTAGATATCTGAAGGACTTCTCCCTGTATATACCTGAACAATCATCAGGACGTCACAGAGGTGTCATCCTCCATCCCAACATTGAGAATAGTACACAGTACTGTATTCTGTTTAGATCCAGAAGAGGGTTTCCTCAATTGCAGCACTCCACAAGGACTGCTTTGGAGGTCTGACTGGCTCCAACATAGCCTCTGTTTCAGCTTCACACTTAAAAGCTGGTTGTTAACCCGAGTATCTGGTGATTAGAGAGATTATGGCTCTGCCTTGAATCCTTGAGTGCTGTTTTTATTTTAGCTTTTAAAAAAATGTTGGTGTGTTTTAAACCGTTTAAACTGTTTTAATAATTCTAAAGTATCTCTGATTGTCACTGGAGTCAGGTGAGATGAGATAAAACTGCTGGGGGAGCTTTTCTACCGTTTTTTTTGGTTCAGTGCCACCAATATGGGGGAAGCACCTAATTTGACCTTTCCTTTTCTTCATATTCCAACTGCTTTGCACCTAGACCACTCCTCTGACACCGACTGGATGAGGGCAAACAGATAGAAACCCATCACTTAAACAATGCAGTTCTAATTTCCACTTAAAAAGAAATTAAACCCCTTGCAATCCAAAACCCACAGTCCACCTCTTTGTTATGTCTCTCAAAAGGTCTTTCTTTCTTGATACCTCAGGACCGCTTGTATTCTTTTCTGTTCTTTGCCTCCTTTTCAACCCTCTTTCAAATCACCCTCCTTCCCTGCCTCCACCATGAAATCGGTACCTCCATCCTGCAGGTGGCCCCCTGGAAAGGCAGCCGCCAGAAGAGCACCCCTGCTCTCTCCACCCCATTGCATGAAAGAGGTGCCACCTGTCTTGCCCTGTGCCTCCTCCCCACCTTACTTGACCTATCACACCTTCAAAACCACCTTCCCTTCACTGCCCCGGTGGTCTTCCAGTCTCTCTTTGCCTGACCCACTGCCAGCCGTCCTCGCCCTTGAGGCGACCATGCGCAGGCACTGAGGGCTTCCACAGCTGCCCCTTAACCTTCCTCAGCCAACACGAAAAGTTCCTGTGGGTTTAGTTTCCAACAGTGAACGAGTGCAACAAAATGAAAACCACATGACTTTAATTCATTTTCAAAAATATCAGAGAAAATGGCAATATAAATCAGCAGTGTTTCAGAGCCCTCAGTTAGCCAGAACTAAGACTTCTGTCACTTTTCCTGTCCCAAGTATACTTCTCTAATAAATGCAAGCTTGCTTATTTCTGTAGGAAGAAGGATGGGCAGAAGAATCAGCTGCTCATCTACCGTGTAACAACATGGAGACAAATAAGGATTCTGTTGTATAGAATCCAGTTGTTTGACTCATGATGATCCAGGAGTCACTAAGAAAATAGACTTTCTCTAGAAATAGCAAACCCCAGTTAAGTAACCTGCATTCCTTCTGGTTACTGTAAGTTCTCTTTTTTTAACCAAACAGACTGTGCTGTAAGAAGACCGCTATTCTAGTGAAAGGAATAATAAAAACAGGGAGAGGCACATTGTTCTACCCACGGAACACGCCATGAAATGGTGTCTTGCTAATGCTATGCTTTTGGTACACAGTCTTTGCCTTCATTAGAACAGGCCTGGGTGTGGCTTTAATTCATGTAGATTGCCCTATGTTTTATGTTCCTAACATATGGAAACAGTTACCAAGAAGTCTGTCCAGACAGTTGGGAAGAAAAAGCAGTGTAAGCCTTTGCCCAAAGAACAAGAGGAACCTGAGAACTGAAAAGAGTTCAGTTAATGTATTTTTTAAAAAACTTCATTTTTCCATTTCTCGCCCCTGAACCTCTACATTTACCACATATGCCCATAAATGGAAGTTACCAAAATACCACATATAAACAGAATTTTCAGCCTGGCTTGAACCAGGAAATGCCGCAGATTTCTTGAAAAGAACCTGTTCTGCAATGATGCTGAGCCTGCAGTCTGGTGCTCAGTGACTAGGGAGCGGGCACCACTTGATTAACCATGCCTTACTTTTGAGTAAGTCTGTTTAGAGTTATATTACATAGCTTTTGATATCTAGCAAATGAAGGAATAGAAGGACATGTCCGGGTAAAATAAAAACATACCAATTTGAATGTAAAGTCATATACTGAATGTGCCAAAGACTGTCGCCCTGATGCAGTTGGTATATGCAGAACTGGGTCTCCATGTTCCATGTTTCTAGACCTCTTTCAGCAGCAGGTATATATACTGTACATACAAAGAGGGACTGATGTAACATTTGTGACAGTCAGATCCATATCTTGATCCAAAATAGAGTTTCAGGAAACCCTGTGTAAGTCAGAGACATTATTTTATAAGGAAGGGACTGGGAAGATTTGATGGATGGGGTGGTGGGAGAAGAATAATTCATCACTGACAGAATTATTTGTTTGTTTAGCTGTTACATTTCTAACCAGGATTTCCTCAAAT